AAAATCAAACAGATGTATACAAAATACATCTTACAAACTTAATACAAACTTAAACATATATAATCACCTTTACCAAACACAACAAATAACAGGAGATACAATCCAGGCTAGAATTATCTGGCCCAGTTAAATTATAAAGTATAGCAGCTTCAGATTTCTTTAAACTAATTACAAAGGTGATGATATAATATGCCTGTGATGCTGCTGTCAGTAAAGATAGCTTTTGCAATAATAAATATAACTTTCTTGTTCCTCTCTTTCATTTTTTAAATGTGAGGTAGCGAAGAGTAAATAATTTCTCTAGGTAATACACAGCTTGTGGAAAAATTTGGTTTACTTCTCTGATGCTGGCATAACATAATAATAAGTAAATGTTATTATGCAAAGTATGTTGTTAAATTAATTATTTCTGCCATGAGAAAAAAAAAAATAAAACCTGCTTAAATGAGAGAAATACTACCCATCCTATTTCTTCAATAACATATGCAATAATATAAAAGGTTTTGATGTGACAAAATGAAGAATAAAAAACCTCACACCTGTGAATACTGGTAAACGTCTAAACAGGAATGCATCTTAAAGGCCCAGATCCCTTAGATTATGGAGCCCTTTCCTTAGTTTTATGCTGGTGTCTGCTTTGGGACTGCACAACAACTGTACTGAATGCCTAGGAAGCTAAAAAGAGTTGCCTTGATTTGTATGGTACCAAGATAGTTTGTCTAGACTGTAAAACCTGCACTAATCTAACTAAACTTACAGCGTTTGCCTAGTTACAAACAGAAAGTCCTTACGAACATGTTCAGAAGGCTGAAACCACGCAAAAGCCAGTTATGTTTGTATCAATAAATTACCATATAAAGCTAAGCTAAAATTTGGTTTGGTCAGAACCCTATCCACTCCAGTAAAACAGTGTGAAGCAAATTACCATCCCCCAGTTAGGTGATCCCTAACTTCTTGAGCAATCCTTGTCAGTAGCATACAAAGTAAATCACTCATGATTTGTTTAAACAAATGCATTTGCTTTGTGTTGAAACATATCAGGGATACATGGTTTCAACTCCTCTCCTGCAGATGTGGCCTAAATCGTAAAAACCCTATAAACCTTGTTAAACCGTCACGATCCTTCCAGCGATTCTGCAGTGTTTGTCATTTGAATACATGGCCTGAGATGCCAACCTCCTACCCAGGTAGGTTTGAGCCAGCTTGAATCTAAGTTTTGTTTTCATCCTGTAAAAGCAAGGAGAGGTTACAGAGTTGTCACTGGGATATGAAGTTTCCAAAATATGAGGCTGCCCATGCATGCTGTCAACAATCAGACGCACGTAAGCATTTAATTTACAATCACGAACAAAGAATATGCCGTGAGGTGCAAAACTGAATCTCTCTCCTGGTTGTGCAAGCTGCTGACAGTTCAGAGGAAATCCAGATGCATTTGCATGGAGTAAACTTCTGTAAACATGTTCTGCACTCCAGCAAAGAAATAAATGTCAAGGTAAGCTTGGCAAGCAACAAAAAAGGATGAGTCATATTTCTCCAGTTTCATTCCAAAGATGCTATCTTTTACCTTCCTCAGTCCTGTAGTCACAAGACTGACAGTGTTTCTGCTCCTTTATGGGAAACAGTATTCAAACACCGCGGGTAAATGATTTAGTGGAGCCCCATACTCATTTTTCACACATACTTTGTTTTCATTACCAAAATCTGGAAGGAATAAGTTTCCATATGCAGCGATCGATGTGAAATTACCTATCTAAAATGTTTATAAGTCACTCCTCATCCATTCTTGTAGCTGATGTATTTACATTGAAATATATAAGATGAAGTCATTTTATGAAAGATCTGTCAAGTAATGTAAAATGCTATTGCAGATTTTGCAAAAGAAACTGAGGTGGCATCCCTAAGACTGGGCTTCCAAGCAGTCATTAGATTAGGGGTGTTTAAGTTCGGATTAACCACGTTGACATGCCTTGGAAACTTATTTTCAAGAGTGCTATGCATTGTAATTTTCAATTAACATCAACAGGGTCTATATACATCTACTGCATCTGAAATTCAGGTCAAGTACTCAGAAATTAAGGAATTGTGAAGGAAAGGCCACTTTGGAAAAGATCTGCACAAGATTACTTGTGATGTCTGGGACACAGCCCAGAACTAAACTCTGTCCCATAGTCTCAGACCAGAGAATTAACAGAGTAATTATTGTTCCTGCTAATGCTACTGATTAGCAAGTCCTTTCCTAACACCGACGGTTAAAAGATGAATAAAAAGTACTTTCTGTCTAGCTCATCCCTATTCCCTACAGGTTTGCTAATCTGACTGTGCCTAATTAACATTTTTTTTTTTCCAGAATGCTTGACTATTTTCACTTTGGTGAACAAAAGTCAGTACATGATACAAATATTATGTATCCTTGAAAATGCAGTGGAAATGTTCTAATGACTTTGTGTTACTCTGCATGATTAGCATTGCAGAACACAGCCATGCTCTTTTTTTTTTTCTTTTTTTTTTTTTTTTTTTTTTTTTTTTTTTTTTTTGTAGATTTCTATCTAACAGAGATAATAAAATCTGGATTATAAAACCATTTGTGATCTGTTGAATTCATCATATTTCTACGCATATCAACTCAAGATGAAATAAGTTTAATATATATAAAGATCAGCATTTGCAAAGGAGTTGGAAGTTAGGCTTTAAGGACTTGATTCGTGCTTACGTACATCGATATGCATGCTGATGCATAGAGAAGACATTTATTTGGGTGCCAGTGAACAACACCATGACTATTTTAAAAAGCAAAGTCACCACATTTTCATTCAGTTCTGCCTAATGTCATTAGCTAAGTGCAAGAAAGAGCAGTATCCAGAAAATCCATTCTGAAACCTCACAACAATTATCTCTAACAAAGCAATAGAAACATTTCTAAGACATGCATCTTCCTGTTATTGTTTTATAAACCTCTCAAAAGCAGGTTTCTGTATTTTTAAGATATTTCTGGTTCCTCTTGGTTATGAAGAAATCAGAAAGAGTTCTTACAGCACTGGCTCTGGAAGCTTAAGTTTTGCCATTTCCAGGCTACAGAAATAAGCACAGATGTGCAGGAGAGAAACACTAAAAGCAAGAGAGATGCAAGGCTGGTTCAGGGAAGCTCTGACCTTATCTGTGTGGTGGATTCGTTCAGCTTTGCTTTAACCACATTTAGTGATGTGATTCCCCCAGCTGTGCCGGTGCACATCCCGTGTCACTGGGGTGGCAGGAGTACAGCTGAGGAAGCTATCTGCCCCTCTGTGAGAGCAGCCAAGCAAGATCTTCCTTTACACCCCCTGTCCCAGCTCAGCTCTCACATATCTCTCCCTTTGCATTTCCATGTGTCAATGCTGTCACTTACCTGCTTCCTGCTACTTTCTCATGGTATCTTTATCTTTGTTTTTTCAACATTGGAAGAAAAAGATTAAAGTTAAACCTGTCAAATGATACACGTAGTCATGCATATTATGCTCTGTAACAACAAGATGTATTTACTGTGTCCTCCCACTGTACCTTTTCCCCTGTTACTGAGCCTCAGATCAGAGTTTCAAGGTGAAATTCATCTCTCCTGAATTCAGACATCAGCCCCTGAGCCAGTCTCTTGTGGGTCTGATGTATGATCATGGAAATAAATAGGTGCTTAGAAACATGATTCATCCCCTGTGTTTTAGATCCCTGCGTGATGAAACACGTGCATTTTAAAGACCCTCTTTCTTTCTGCTCATAATAAGGGTAGCCCAGAAGATTAGCTCAACCACAGATAGCCCTGTTTCAGATAGTTACATTTGGTCAGACAGGTCCTAGTAATACTTAGGAGGCTATGTCAATTATTTTGTGTTTTTCTGACTCCCAGAAACTGTGAAATTTCCAATTCTACATGTAGAGTACAGTGGCAAGTTGTTCTGACATAGGACTGCAACACTTTAATTGTCCTACCACATATGGACTGGAAGAAGCCAAAGAGAATTAGAAACTGGGTGACAGATGAACACCACAATTTCAGCTGTAAGAAAAATGAATATTTAGAATTGGCAGTACTAAATAACCCTTTACTTATGAAGGTTTTTCCATACAATTGCTGTTTGCAAGTGTTCAATTCCTATGTTATAAATAAAATAAAGTTTCAACAAAATCCGAATCAACAGAAAGTGTAACCCCCAAGATGATCTTGTAAAAATACCCTTTTACACTACAGGTTTGGCTTGATGCTTTACGTATTACGGCTACCACTCTTCAACTGGTTTCTAGACATGAAAGATTGGATTTATGGCCCTACGAGCATGGAGGTGAGGAATCATAAGAAAAATAAGCACATTGATTCACATGAAAAGTATGTGCCAAATAAAGCCTTAAATCATTTTATGTAGCCTGTCACTCAAACATATTTGACTGTCATCCAAATTGTTGGAATTGTCTTTCATACTGAAAAAAAAATCTGTTTATTTTTAGGCTAATTGGAAAAACAACAGATTATCTTTAAATTAATGAATAAGTCAACTTGTTTTTATAAGCTTAGTAATATTTTCCATTGTCACTCCCTCCTTAACACCTATCTTTATTGCCTAATCATTCACATACTTTATCTTTTTGCATTTAGATGAGTCATGAAGAGCACATTACGATGATAAATATATCATCTGCTTCCTCTTAGTGTTAACTCAGCTGCATGATTCACGCCGTAAACCTATTTTACTCATTCTATCCTTTGTTGTTCATAACCTCGACTGTTCACATCAAAAGTATTGCTAGAATCACGTTCTTACTTAAAAACTAACATAAAGGTGTTATCTGCTTTGCATATAATAAATTCAGTCTGACACTTTTTTTTTTAATATATATAAATTCTTCTATGCTAACTATTCACATGAAATAAATGTAATTGTAATGCAAGCTGAAGAAGATAGCCTTATACACGAAGGTGGTATTTCTGCATTGTGATGCTATCTAACTGCTTTGTTTGATTTAATTAATTTTTGTAAAGGATGTTTTCTTTTACAGCTTAGACCACTTTTTGAAGCTCAGCTGGGACTGCTTCCCAGTGATGTGTTACAAAATTGATGCACCCCCTGTATGGGGCCCACACAGAATCCCACTCAGGGCTTTCTTGCCTGACCCCAAGGGCTACACTTAAATTCTCAACATCCCTGAAACCCAGAGTACATGCCTTGCTTCTCTGAATTCACGTGAGTAACAAATGAATTTGTAATAGTTCTTAGACTGTATTGTTTGATGATCCCGACTGAGAGCAATTACATGTGTCATTAAAGCAACATGTAGCTGATATGAAATGTTCTAAAGATAGTAATACAGCCTTACGTGTCTGTGTGACTGAGGAGCAAGGTAACATAAGCTCTTCCTTAATAGGAAGTTATTGGAAAACTAAAAAAAAAAAAAAAAGCAGCACAGCACAAGTTGTTTTCTGAACAATTCTCTCTGAGCAATAGGAGGCTTCATCTTGAAATTAAATTGCTGGTTCACCCGGTTCATGAGCCTGGAGGTCAAAGGCGCACAGGACAATTAGAAGTCACTGGCTAATGATGAGGTGGAGAGCAAATTGAGAGATCTTCTGGAAGTGAACATAAGGACACACACACCTGCTGTGGGAGTCTCTGGATGCAAAAAGAATATTTTTCAGTTTTCAGGCTCCCAGCCTTAGAAAAAGACAAAGAAGTATGGAGATTTTTTTTTTATTATTATTATTTTTTACTCCTGAAAACAAAAAAAAATAAATAAAAGTGTTCCCTATTCCCTCTTCCCACCCAGCAATACCCAATAACAAGTGGTCTGTCTTTCCATTCAGGGCTGAACGTATGCCAGATTTATTTGGAAGGGGCTTTGCAGGGGCGTGATGTGGGAGTATGTGCTATGAAGCTCCATGTTAAGAGATAAGGGGAGCAAGCAGGGGCAGGGTGTGTGTGAAGGAGACTGGAAAACTTCTTTAGCTGGCTTATTCCTGGTAAATTTTTATCTGTTGCTTCAAAGGATCAAGAGCTACTGAATACAAATCTGCTATGGTTTGCACTGAATAGCCCTAGCCCAGTTCTTGGTCCAGCCCTATACCAGGAAATTGTGTGGCAAATTGGCCAAAGGATGTATTTTTCACTGATGCAAATGAAAATCTTGCTATTAACTTCAGTGGGTCAACTAAAGCTCCTACTCGAACTTGCTTTTAAAATGCCTTGACCATGGATCTTTGAACACCTTTGGTAGCCATTTCATTCCAGACATTTAAACAGCAGTTAAACTCCAATTGCCATTTTCATTCAAGGATGAAAGTCAGAGTAAGTTTTTACATAACTCATATTTCCATGGTTAATTTTAATATGTAGATTAAACAAAAAACATGATGTGCTACTAGAAAAGTTCCTTTCCTTGGAAATCGCCTCACCAGCTTTTCCCCCATCCACTCATTTGGTGGCAGGCTGCAGGCCACCTTCCCTCTCCAGGTGGGATTTCAACATCCTCCCACCCACAGCCCTGCCTCCTCCGGTGCTCAACAGCATCTCCCCAGCAGGTCCAACTGGCTCTGACATCTGCAAGAGCCCTTCAGAAGCTGGGTCCAGGAAATAAAACACGGTGACTGAAAGAGGCTTCTCCCAAGAAAAACAGGACATACATAGGAGCAGTATCACACTCGAGGAGGAAAACATTCAACGTCCTTCTGTGTTCTGTGTCTACAATCTGCTCTCGCCAAACTCATCTGATGAAGAAACAAATTGACACTGGAAACATTACACTGACCACCGTGCTTCACGTACTGCGTGTGGCACATCAGCACGGGAGGACTCCCTGTTTCTAAAATTGAGCTGTCTCTTTATTAACAGATTCACTTACCAGGACACTGAGCCAGCAAATCAGATGCACACAGCTCGCCTGTCTGTGCTGCCTTCAAGCTCTGCCTTCCTGCAACATGTGCTCTTCTCTCCAAGGTCAGAGCAGGTAATTTAGTGTGTAAGTCCCTGCAGGTGGCTGACTATCTGCTTTCATGCTGTTTATTGCACTGGTAATCTGTGAAGAGCTCTTAAAATGATTTATTTATGCTATGACAAAGGCACGTGTAATATTCAAAAAAGATAATGAAGTGTCTCCCAAGATTTCTATAGTTGATTTTAAAACTGCTTAGAAATCTACTTGTTTTGTGTTTCATCTCATTATTATTTGAAACAGATGAATTATTCTAGAATTTATAGTCACAAAGTAATCAGAAAAGTATTAATGAATACAGATAATACTTTTCAAAATAGCATATGTATATACAGAAATTCCTACTTATTTTGTGTGTTTTAAAATTATTCACATTAAATATGAATTGCCTTATCTAAAGACATAATCAAGGGATTTCTTTTTCTTATGAGCAGTGACTATTATCTTGATTCAGGAAGTAAATTAAATACTTCAGAATATAGACTATCTTTCCAAATATAGAAAAAAAAATGGGTGGGACAAATATTTGCTGCATCTTATATTACTTGCAAGGAGTAGTAGCTTTCCTTGTGTCATTGCAAATGATATAAACATGTTATTGCTTGCTTGCTGGCATACAGGCTGGAAATAAACTTATTATCTATTTATTATATGCCCTTCCTACTAGATCTCAGGTTTCTATTCAATTGATTAAAAAGTTACTCTTAACTTTCATGAGTTAAATCTCAGCCCCACAAACATCAGTGGGAGCTTTGCCATTAAATTAATTAGGACCAGGAATTCATTCAATCAGTGTTTCTTGGAGAAGACCTTAAATACTGTGTTAAAAATCAAATGAGAGAAATCTCAACCTACAAATATGTATGGCATTCATTTCTATCCTAATGTTAAATGACTTAAGTCAATACCCAGAGGCAGTTAAATTAAGCTTGGTTAGAGCTTTTACTTTCAGCTAAAAATTCAGCAACTCACATCCAGAATAGATTTTGTTTTCGCTAAGACAGAAACAGACTCCAGATATTTAGCCTGTGACATAGCTATGATAGTTATTTTAGACCATGCATCAGTCTACCGTCGATGGCTTAAGCTGTCAATGTCAAAGTCTTAAGGTTGTCTTAGAAGCCCTTCTTACTGTGCTGGAAAATACATACAGGTCTGTGGAAGGCACAGCGTGCAGGCATGTTTCCTGACAAAACAAGCAAATACCTTAGCCAAGGATTTCTGTCTTAAAAAGCTGTCGCTTCAGTGACAGCTGATCAGTAGTGCCCTTCCAGCTGAAGAAATTCAGTTGCCCCTTGACAGCATGAGTATTAGTAACTTCTTAATATACAACAGCGTTTTGAATTTGGAAATTACATCAGTGATACTATAGCCTCTATGTACCACCCAATAATATGCAACATTTTCACAGATGCTAGCCTCCCAACCATTTGGCTTTCAATTGGAGCAGGAGGAAAATACTACAAACACACTACCTAAAAATACAGCCTTGCCATTTCTGCGAAAACCTCAATACAAACGCAAACTGGGATCATCAGAGTGAGGACGAGAGTGTTCAGTGCAGCACCCAGGCTGTGCAAACACGGCGTTGAGCCAACTTTATTTTCTCCTGGTTGGAAGCCTGTCAGGGCCAGTGTATAGCAGGGTTTAAAGGCTAGTGTAGATGCCAGCAGTCTCAAAGGGCTATTTGAGTAGCCAGGATTATTGGGGCATAAAGGAACCACAAAGCCCCTGCTCTCTGACTGCCATGTGCCAATAGCACGCAGCAAGGGAGCAACAGGAGATGCTTCCAGCAGATAAAGATTTTATTTTTCCAAGGGAATTTCTTCATAACCAGCTCCTGTGGGATCCCAGACTCATGCAGATATGCCTCAGTTTACCAGGACAATGATTCTGTAGTTTTGGGGAGACAGCTGAAGTGCTGCAGATTGCATTTTAGAGACGTGATGCTGACAAATTAAGTTCAAAGTCTTAGCAGGGCCCTTCCAAATGGCAGCTCTCCAGGGCTAGACAGTTATAGCAGTAAGTTCTATAAATCTTTTCAGAAGCTCCTTGGGCTTCAAATACTTCCAACATTTCGTCATACCCTTTAAACAGGGAAAATTGCCCAATCCCTTTTTGGAGGCCAGCATAATTATACTCTTGGAAAATAATAATAATAATAAAGTTTAAAAACCAGAGCACTGTAGTTCACACCACGTGATAGAATTAGTTAATTCACACAGTAAATACTGGCAAAAATGTTAATACAATGGCTGTCTTAGATGCAGTCCTGAAAATGTATGTTGATGCAAAGAAGTGCAAAAAGAGCTTTTAAGAGATTTGTTTGGGGCTTTTCATTGTAGCTTGGGAGAAGTTTAATTCCAGATATAAAACTTCTGTCAAGCTATTGTACATATCTCACACTGCAATGTGCATTTCGTAATTTAAACATGTCCCAAACAAAACCAACTGGACAAAACTCTTGTGTTTCTTTCAATCTATTGCTTTTTCGTACTTCATATTTGCTTGCTACAGCTGTCCAGGTTAATTAGCATTCTGGAATATTTTGGAGGAAATACATGTGAATGCAAGTGTCAGAGAACTCCCTTTTCTTCTACAGCAATAAAGCTGATCAAATTATTACAGCTAAATGCCTACAGGAGAGCTCACAGGACAGTATAAGCTATGTATCTGCAATTGGCTAACTCCTTGAACAATTCAAATACAGCATCACTTCTTTAAAAATGAAAACTCTTGTGTGAATTTGCACTCTACAATAACACTCTAAAGAAGACTTCCTTTACTTCTGTTGTGACTGAAGCAATCCTGGTAAAATTTAGCATCCATCCTCACATGCTGTGTGTTTTTCTTACAATTTTTTCTCAGACAAACATAAAATAAATCAGATAGAACCTGGGACAGTTTTACATGGCTTCAAAAGAAGAAAATAATCAAACTAAAGAAGATTAAAAAAAGAATGAAAAAATGTGATGCACTGCATTTGGACCCTGTTATATTTCAGACTCTCACAATACCTTCACTTGGCAAGACATTAATCATTCTTCATTTATTTTTTACACTGATGGATGATGAAGGTGATTTTGGTGTTCACAAAATACTCTAATTAAATTAATTCATCTGACACAAAGTGCTGTCCTATTCTTACATGAAAAATGGGAGACGGATTTAGCCATTTATATCATCTTAATTGAATACTCACATAAATGAGTTGCTGGATTTGTGCCAAAATTTCAGGAAGGTAGAGAGCACAAAAAGAGTAGACCCAGAGGAATGCTGGACATGTGAGACTTTTCCTCAAGTATATGTTGTTGACAGTTCATAATTTCAGGTCAAGCAAATTCTTCTCTGGATTTCCTCTTATGGGTGTGATCTAAAAGAGAAAGTTTGGGATGATGAAGACGAGAAACAACTTATCTGGGGATAAAGGGGTAGTAACTGGAAGAAACCCATAGGTGTGGCTGCGATGCTGGTGTGTTTGCCATTTCAGCATTAGATGGTAGGACTGATGAAGCCAAAAGGCCAGCAGAGGTGAGGCCATTCCAGGCAAGTATATGCAAGCCAGAGGATGGAGCTGAGGAAGAGGACGTCTCTGTGAAGCAACAACTTCTCCTCACAGGGAGAAGAGCAGCAATAGCACAGAGTAACGCCAAACCTGAGGAGATCAAATTGCCTCAATTTCAACAAGTAGCTAATCATATATATATACAGTCAGTAAAGAAATTGTATATTCTCCTGTGAATTAAAAAATGCATACTTTCAACAAAATCTCAGCAAGGCTTGCATAGCACCTTAAAAAAAAACAAAGCCTATATTTAAATGAGGAATACTCACAGAGCCAAGGTACATGGACTGTGAGAAAAAAGGAGCTTAGCCTGTTACAGTACTTAAATACTGAATCATTTCCAGTATTCTGTGCCAGATAATCATTCAAATGTAAGTTGTACCAGTATGATCTGATACGTCAAGAAACAAGCAAGTTACATCAGTAGTCTTGATCTTATCTGAACACAAAACCTGTGTCTCTTTTTTTTTGTGTTCACTGTATCATTTCCCAAAGTTTTTTCTCATGTTCCCTTCCCAGATGAACTTCTCCATTCATTGTCTCCTAATTCCTCTATACAATTAGCATGCCCCAGTATAATTCCTTTAGTTCATTGTTTGCTGCCTGAGCGCAACCCCAGAATTTGTTTAGTTGTCCTTCTAGTAGCCTGAAGGCTATTTCAGTCACTAAGAGAGTGATTCGATTGCTTAACTTAGGTACCTGATGCTATTTGAGAAGCTCTGGGGTATCTAAGCCACCCATCAGAGACTGATAACACAGGATCTGTGGGAGTCCTACACACTTGGCAGGTAGAGATGAGGATGGGTGACCTTTGCTTCATTTGAAGTTATGCAAGATGCCTATATTTGGGTAACTGAGCTGAGCCTCAACAGCTGATTCTTATGTGTATTATTGTACTTTTCAGTTTAACTATAAACCAATGTTTTCATGCCTAATGCTGTAAATTTCTTCTTGCAATCTGTTTTCTGAAAAGCAATTAACAGGTAATTATACTCTACTTCATCTTTAGCTTATGTATGGGAAACTCAAGCACAGGGAATTAGAATAACATTCAGAAATAAACTGTTATTTACACATTTATTCATTTACCATATTTAACATGCATCATTCAGTTTCTAAGCTTGGCTTTCTGTATCCATAGAAACTGAAGAACACTAAAAATGGCATCACTTATTTCCTTTTTTGTTTACTGATCTTGAAAAGATTTTCTGAATCTGCAGTGCTGTATCGTATCTCACGGGTATTGCTTTCAATCTACTTTTATGTCAAGTGCTGTATATGACTTAAAAAACATATAACATACTTCATATTTTAGCAATAAAACTGCACCAATGGTTCATTGTGGTACTATTGTTTCATGTCATTGCATTAAAAAAAAATTGCTCTCCTTGGTTATTCTGTCCACCCTATGAGTAGATGTTTTGTGTGTTCTTGTTCCATAGTTTTACCATTTTTCATAGCTTGCTACATACCTTTCTTTCTTGACTGCTACTGAGAATGATGTTTGCAGGAGGAAATAGATGGTAAAGACCTGATGTTAGAAAAATACTTGGCACCTCAAAGCAGTTCCTATGGCAACTGAGGCCTACAGTGGTACTAGAACATCTATGAATCCTTATGTCATTTTTAAATATGGTGTTTTTGCAAGTGCAGTTAATTTTGAAAATACCACATCATACCAATTTTTCTCTGTTAAATTTCATAGACATACATGAACATATGTTCAGTGTTTCTAGAAGCAGACTTCTTTTGATACCATGTCATTAGATGACAATTGTCATACCTTATTACTGCCAGATTTACAAAATTTAATCCTGTTAATATTAAAAAAGGGAGAGAGTGGTCAAATATGTTCAAGTATTTTATCTTGAATGATTTATTTATTTATTCATTTTAAATGAAGCATAGTTGTAACTATACCTAAGACTAAAAACTCCTTATTCTTCTTCACTGCCTTGTATATAAATACATGCCCAGTTAAAAAAATAACTGTGTATGTATTTTCCTGTGTGAGTTGCCTCCACTTTCTGAAACAGTCCCTGGACTAGGTTAGAAAACAGTGGTCTTGCCTAGGAGCCTGAGGTCAATTTTGAGATTTGTCGCTGGTGCTGGAGTTTGCCTGGCCAAGGTCACACCTCTGGCTAGTGCTGAGATTGAGCTTCTGCACATCCTTGGTACCAGCATCCAGCCTGCCCCTGCTTCTGGGTCCCACCTGGGGCAGAAGGGATAAAACAGGGACAGTAGGGTAGTCAGTGGAGAGTCATTTGTCTTACAGGCTGGGTGAAGGGAATTTTCCACATCAATTCATCTCTAGAAGTGTATTTCCTCTTGCTCTCACAAGAATTGCTTTTTTTTTTTTTTTCTACAGAAGTTTCTCTTATGCTTCAATTGGTTTCTTGTTCCAGGCTGTTTCCACCTCAACAGTTGACTACAGAAATTTTACATTCAAATTCTTTTGTCAGGGAAATACAGGAGCAAGAGTCTTGTCAGAAAAATGAATATCCATGCAAGGGGTTTCATGATACAATGTTTTTTAAAGTAATAATTGCTTTCTAGTGTTCTTTCTCAGCCATTGTGTCTTTTGTGCTTTCCCCTAAGATGGTCTTTTAATAAGATAATGCAAATACAGCAAAGTAAATGAAGAATCTATTATCGTATACCATTAGGATCCTTAAAAAGACATTTCAGGTTGTGTTTATGTCCTGCTTCCTACTTGAGCCTAGGTGGGGGACTACAGTCACCTCTACTGTGATCAAAGAAGTCATGTGCATACCATTCTTCACTGTATACTGCACAGAAAGGGGCCTGGATTAGTGTCTCTCACAGAACCTTCACTGCTTTTAGATTATATTTTTATTACAAGTTGTTTTCCTTCTATTGTCCTCATTTAGCATGACACAGAAGAAAGAGTAATCGCCTGGGAGATTTGTCTGGAAGTAGAGAAGTAGAAGACACCAGGTGACATCCTTTTCCACCACAGGCACTGCATCAGAAATATGTGTCCACATAAAAAGCTAAAGGCCTTATAATTCAAGGTTTTGTTCTATCAGTGTAAAGCAAAAGTGACATCCAGTGGTCTGCAAATCCAGACTGTTTGGAGTTCATATTACAAAAGCACTGCAGAATGTTTCAAAGAAAATTTCATCTTCTTTGCTGACTTCTGTGAATTTGTTATACAAATTATATATTTTGTATATGTTCAAAAGAGACTTCATTAGTCTCTTTTATAAAGTTATAATTTGACTTAAAAAAATAAATCATATTGCTAAAGTTGTGAACAAATTTGGTGTGAACATATAAGGTCCTCAACTGTAGTAAATAAAACATATCAAATTTGCATGGAAGTCAAAAAGGAGAAAGGTTAACTTTACAAAGACTTGAATGCTTCATTCTTGACACAGAATTTATGCAATGTTTTGGAATAGTTTTCTAAAGTTACTTTAACACAAATGTAGACATTTTGTAGAAAATTTTGTAAATGTGAGTAAATAATGAGCCTGTTTAGCCTTCTGGCTAAACATTTCCCAGACTGTTCTGCAAAGCAAACCAACAGTTCTGAGCAAAACTGGGCTAGCCACTCATACAAATGCCGCGATGGGAGGGAACATAACCCCCCACATGAAAGAGTTAAGAGCCTGAAATCAGGGCACACAGAGATGCACTAGACAATGACATTTTGCACACCAAAACTATTTTGTACTCTGTGCTTCTGTACTGCCTTCTTAACCAAGACTGATTTCAGATAGATAAACCTGCCCATATAACTCTGCTAATGCATTTCTGTCCAGAACTGCTGAAAGGGTTTTTATTCTATGAAGAGCCCACAGCTTTCAACTGCTGGACTTCTGCCTTTTGATACTAAAGGCTATCATTACATAGAGTAAATTTCAGAAAATAAATGGGAGAAGACAAAAAAAATAAAAGCAATCCCATCACTCTCCACTTGTGATTCAGATGTACCTAAATAAATAGGCCTTTCTGTATTCAATAAATTTTAATAATAGTTGAAGAAAAATTAGTAAAACACTAACTTTTTTGACTTCTTTTCATGGCAAGAGTGGCTCCCATCCTGACTCAGGGATAATGGGACTGAGATGGTACTGACTCTTCTACTGCCACCACTGCAGTTACATCTGCTGGACTAGAGGTACATTTCATAAGGGGTTGGTACTTTTCCAATTAAAAAATAAATAAATAACAGATCCCTGTCCGTTTGATGTACCAATCAGGCAACTCTGTAATCAACCTTTCTGCAGATGGACATTCTTGTTTGGGTGACTTTCATTTGCAGCACAAAGCTAAAAGAGGAAAGAGAGTTTAACTAGGACACAGCCACCAAATTTGGCAGTGTTCCCTTTGAATATTTTTCTAAGGATTTTGTCCATATGAGTTCTGAGAGCAAATGCCAAATGACATGCAGGAGAAAAAGATTAAGCTGATAAAACTGCAGCAGTTTTTTCCTACTATTTTGGCTGTCTGTGGTACACAAATTACATTTTTTTTTTCTTGATTAAAATGAAAGGAAGTAAAAGTAGGTACTAGCCTTCCTTTTAATTAAACTGATTAAAATAGACCATCTGCATGTCTTTCCTTTTTATTTCATATTTCACTAGCCAAATGGGATCCCAAAAGCACTATGTTGCAAGATAGGATATCTCTAATGAGATAGCAATTTTTTTTGCAGGTATCTGCTCATTTTATCTGGACGCCGTATTGTTAATAGTCTCCTCTGCCCAGGCAGCTGTGCCTGTGACAGCAGAACAACATGTTCCCTCCAGTACAGCCTGTGGAGTTATTTCATGTCCGACAAGAGATAAAATGTAAGCTACTTAAAAGGAACCTCCAAATCACCCTGTAAAAGGAAACTGCAGAGAGACAGGCTGCTGGCAAGAAGAGAGATCAAAGGGCTATGTTAAGGACTTATAGACCATATTTCTCTTTCATCGGGCCAGATTATGCAACCTGCCAGGTGCAGAATACTTGCAGTTTCTAAGGGGTGAGCAAATATTGTAGATATGCGAGGAGTGAATACCTTCATTTCAATGACACACTCGGAAAACAAAGTCATTTTGCATGGAGGTCAGGATGTGGAGGGAACAGGTGCCAGACGCAGATATTTCAGATGGTTCTTCCACACTTTGTAGCAGGCGAGGGAAAAGATTTAATCTTCATTGTTACAGGGGTCGGTGGATATTTCCCTTCCCTGTTTAGCTAATATTTACTAAAAAGGGAGGGGGACAACCTGGTAATATATTTTTCAGTTTAAGTATTCCTGCAGAGCAGGGCCATGGGGAGTTGGAGCCCAGCCCTGCTGCGGCCTTGCTGAGGCCGTGGCAGACAGGCCCAGGGCTGATGCGGGGTCCTGGGCCTGGGGCACGTGGGGGAACTGTGAGGCAAGGGACAGAGACACAGCAGGGGGTGCCCTCCTGGCCCTGATGCCTCTTAAGGGTGGGTTTAAATGGAGAAAGCCACTCATCCCACCCTAAAGTAGATTAATGGTTTCCACTGGGTGCCTAACTTTCAGTCGGCTACATTCACATGAGGTTAATCCCCCACAGCAGATCTCGGCTTAGTCTGTCTAATGCTTCAGGACGAATTTTATCAGGCTTCATTCTCGCTAGCAGATTTGGGAATCTTAAAACTTAAGTGCTTATGTTTTCTTTCCTCCAGCCCTTTGTCACTTGTGTGACTCGTGTGAGCCATCTGGTAGCAGATGTCCTCTGAGGAGAGTTTGGCTGCAAAAAGGCATTAAACACTTTGGCCTTCTCAGCATCTTCTGTTTATATCTTTCCTCCCCTCAGAGCAGCAGACCAAAGCTTTCTCAGCCTTCCTCTTACCAGTAGTGCAATTACAGAAGGATTTCCTGTTACCCCTTACAGTCACAGCCTTTCTGCTTTTCTCCTCCATAACAATGTGTTACTTTTACTGTTGCAGCTATGGTGGCTTTTTAAGCTGCCATCCTCTGCATCTGGATGGGTAGCAGAACCTTCCCCAGCAGTGGCTTGCTTATCCAGCCTCTGTTCTCCCAGCCTATTTGTTTCCCTGTGGCTTTACCTATCACCGTTTGGGGATGGTGAAATCTGCTTTTTTGAGTATCTATTGCCTCATACTTTTCCTCTTTTCACAAAATAGTGAACTCCACAACTACAGAAGCAGAAGGCTGCTCCCATCATGACCTCTACACTTGTTGAACAGTTAACGCCATTGTAATATTTTTCCAAATACTTGAAGTACTTCATTACCAACAAGTCCTTTGGATGTAGAAATATAAGAACATTCAGAAATCAAAATTAACTTCATAGAAGTTAATTCTATTAACTTTCAGAATAGAAAAGGTTCTTGCTTTTAAGTGTTTAAAAATGTAAGTCACCCTTGGAACAGTAGACTCAGTTCAAAGATAAAGGTAAATACAAATCTTAGGTCTTTTGTTCGAATTGAGCGAGCTGTTGGAAATGTGAAAACCATACACAGCTTTTTAATATGTTTTGTACTTAATTAAACTCTTTTTTTTTCCCCTAAAAAATAAATAATAATTTAAATCTATAGGATCTCAACTGCAGCCCAATGAAACCAATGGATAATTACTTGCATTTGCTGATGGGTTTTCACTATGTCTGAGGTATGGAGCAAGATTCAATGTAGAATGCTCTATCTTTTATGTTAAATCTCAATGAACAAATTTGAGAGGGATAATTTTATTTCTTGCTTATATACATAATACTATTATCTTCATGATTACCATGTCATATTTTATTGGTTTTACAAGAAGCATAGAGTATTCCTAAAATACACCACACATTATTAATGATCTTGAACACAGATCTTGTAAAATATAGACTAAAATACCACTCTAAAGTAAAAATAATAGTTTCTTGAGATTGTCTTTAGCTTCGCTGTCTTTCTGATTTATACTAATTTATACTGCTTTAAAGTGTTAACAAACAAATAAATATTATGATAATTTACCAAAATATTGACGCAATTCTTTACAAGCACAGTTCAGTGCTAGGAACATAAGAAAAAAGAAAGAAGGCAAGAAGGCAGGAAAAAAAGAAAGATGAAGAGAGAAAGAGAGAAAGAAGGTAGAGCAGTGTTTTGTCTTATTTATTTTTCTTTCTTTGCACAAAGTGCAAAACCCTAAAAAGCTGTTTAGAAAAGGAGACAAAGCACTATTTTATCTTCTGCTCTTCATTTTCTCAGTAGTAGCAAAACAAGGATAACAAAAGTTTGAGCTAACATCCCCAAAGCTCTAAACAAAATTTGGGTGAGTATTTCTAAGTGAAAAAGCATGCATGTCAAAATGAATCTTTTGATGAAAAGAAAGTATATCTATATTTTTATGAAAATAAGACCTTTGAAATTTAAAAAAAAAAAAAAAGAAAGAAAGACCAGAACCAAAAGATTATTTCTAATAACATAAAATGTTTGCATCCATTTGTGTGAAATGACTACATTCAGTATTTCCGGATTTTTGTTTCTTTATTCCAGGGAATACTTTGCAAATGAAGCTTGTACCATTCTGGACAAAGCTGGGACAATGTATGGTTCTGGGATGCCAAAAGAATGTTTTATCCTTCATTGGAAATAGACACTGTATTTATAAAGGAGAACTAACAGGTTGATAAGGATTTTGCTTAGAAAGTGATGAAGTATTTGAGAGAGGTGTGCATATTTCAGCAGATCTTGATTTAAAGCAGATCAAAATCTTTGGCTGAGCAGCCCAGCACCTAACCACACACAAGCTGAGGAAGCTGCATGCCGCATGGGTACTGTGTGTGTTAGCATTCCAGCTCCTGCTCCCAGACAAAAGCAGCCTTCATTTAAACTGAGAGGTATTGAGTAACAAGCCTCTGCATAGCACAACAAACTGAACACAACTGTCTCAAGTGAGACTCTATTAAAGCATGGGAAATTTGCCACCTCCCCAGGATTTATCATTTTAATTGGAACAAGACAGATTCCATCAATGATGACTGAACAGAGCATCAAGAAGTATTTTTTCTTTAGCAGCTGTTATTATGCAGGAGAGACAGAGAGCTGAAGTAGGGGCAGAAACCCTTTTCAGTGTAAACAGATAGCCATCTAATCTGCAGAAGACGGGCAGGAGAAGAAGGGAAACAGGATCTTTCAGATATAATTAATACTGAAAAAGCAAAATAATGTCTTTTCCAAAGACCTTATATGGCCACATCAAGCTTTGGTTACCTTTTACAAATCTTTCTGTTAGTACTTCAGTAACTTCCAATTCTTGTTGGCATATTTGAACAAGAGTCTTCAAAGATTCATTCTTTGACCTTCCCAGGTGCTGCTCTTTTAGAGTTTCTTTTTATAAGCAGTAAGTTAAGTAGGGATCAAAGAGGACCACCATCAAGAAGGAAAAAACAGTATGCCTTGTTATATATATGGTATTTTCATGTTGCTAAATTAAAGTAATTCAATATTTCACCCTCAAGATTGATATAAGAGACCACAACAATTAAGTTTAAGGTTATAATTTTAATCATAGATGAAGCTTAATGGCCTTTTTTTCCAATGTCTCATAGTCTTTGTGGAAATTATATTATTGAGCAGAGCAACACAGTACTTAAAGCAGGTTAACTTTTAATGCAAACCTGTTTTCTGCTGTCCAAAAGATCTCTAATAACCCACTGCTTACTAAACTGAAAATCACTATTCCATTCTCTGAATACATACTGATTTCAGAGCAGACAATATAAGATTAAGGACCTAGCCATCAGAGTGCAATAAACAAAACAAAACATGTCTGGAACATAGGCTTCCACTTTAGGACACAGGGACATGGACATGTAGAGGTAATCTAAAAAATACTTATCAGACATTCATCTTGAAATCCACCATAGAACAGCAATGGTCAGCAATGACTGAAAGACAAATAATAAAAAATAAAATAAAATCACAAGATGACTGTGCCACTGTGATCCACATCTGAATACTGTGATCAGTTTTGGAAAGCAGTGGTAGAAAAATCTTAGAGATGAGCAATACATATGACCATTTGAGAACACTTTATGGATCAAAATTTTCACCTTGAGAAAGATACACATGAAGAAGACATGCTAGGGACCTACAAGAACATGATTGGGATCAAGAACAGAATAATGATTCATTATTTCATAGAATCATAGAATGGCTTGGGTTGGATGGAACCTTAAACATTACCTAGTTCCAACCCCCCTGCCATAGGCAGTGATGCCACACCCTAGATCAGGTTGCCCAGGGCCTCATCCATCCTGGTCTTGAATGCCTCCAGGGATGGGGCATCCACAACCTCTCTGGGCAACCTGTTCCAGTGCCTCACCACCTTCTGAGGGAAGAATTTCCTCCTAATCTCTAATCTAAATCTCCCCTCTTTTAGTTTAAAACCATTCCCCTTTGTCCTGTCATTATCCAATTGAGCAAAGAGTCTCTCTCAGTCTTTTTTATAAGTTCCCTTTAAGTACTGAAATGTTGCAATGAGGTCCCACCAGAGCTTTCTCTTCTTTAGGCTGAACAGCCCCAGCTCTCTCAGCCTTTCTTCATAGGAGAAGAAATTTCTTTATTACAATAGCGGACACCCAATGAAATTGGTAGACAGCAAACTGAAAACAAAATGAGTTTTCATTGTTGTTTTACTTAATGTAAAGTAATTGAACTGTAGAAATTATAAGTCAAAGTACAAATAAATTTAAAAGAGGTGTGATGAATTCAGGGAGTGGTGATCTAAAGCTGCCTACTAAACAGGATAATCCATGTGCAGTTTCCACTGGAGGAAGAGCTAATTGCTAGCTTTTCACTGGATAAGTGAGAAAAGAAAGAAAGAAAGAAAGAAAGAAAGAAAGAAAGAAAGAAAGAAAGAAAGAAAGAAAGAAAGAAAGAAAGAAAGAAAGAAAGAAAGAAAGAAAGAAAGAAAGAAAGTGTATTGGTTCATGTGCTTCTCCTTCACCCCCCCCCTTTTTTTTTTTGTCTCAAGCAACCACTGTTGGAAATAGGATACTGAGATACTTCATTAGCTACACATGACTTGAAAATAAGAAATAAAATGAAGGCGTTTAAATCACTACAGAAAAAAAAAACAAAACAAAACAAAAAAACATTTGTATTTTCATTACAGTAAGGACTCTTGCACAATTAATCTGACAAGCAGTCATTTTTGAGTGATGCACCATGTCTACATCTCATATCCTTCATTGTCAATCATTAGTAGGTTAGTGCAAGAAAGAGTATGTTTTAGTTCTCAAAGCTAAACTTGTTCCCATGTCCTCATTAATTGTAAAAGCATAATGAAGACTGATTCAATGCAACAAATGGGTTTTGATTAAATAACGTCATACAGAAACACCAGACAAGCCAAAACACCATCTTGTAGAGTTGTATTCCCCTCCAGTCCTGGTAGAGATTGAAACTATCTGTGTAATATATCATAATTAAATCAATTTCTGCTAATCACTTCAGCAAAAATACTCAGTCCGTGGTAAGTAGTAGGCTAAAGGGTAGGATGCTGACAGTTGCTGTCATGGGTTTGCAGGAGTACAATGCAGGAAATTGCCAGACCTCCCGTTTTCACATCTCCCAATGCACAAGGGACTGAAAAGAGGTATAGTTTTCCCATGGAAATAATAAATAAAAACAAAAACAAACTTAAATTCTCCTACTCATGAAACTTAAATTCTCACTGCCTCCTACACTTTCCTGTGAGTTAAAACGCCAGTTGCATCCTGACCGGCTCTTGGCTTCTCGCAGTTACCCACTGTCAGCTCCGAAATCTGCAGCATATTAAAAAACACAAGCTGAGGACAGCCCAAAGTAAAGTGAATTAAATGATGATAAATATTGCAAGAAATACAATTATAAAAAAAGGTCAGGGAGAATTTAGATAAAAATATAATGCACCTTGGTTTGAGCATTTATGATCATCTAAAAACCTAGCTCCACAAACTACATGCAAGTGTAACATGGTTCAAGAGAAAAGCAGAATAAAAATAAAAATCTATCATATCAGCCAATCTCTATTTCAGGAAGTGATGCAAACACAGTCCGCAGCGAAGTTGTACCTCCCAAAATACTCTGCCACCCACAACATTGTGTAACTTTCTTCTAACATGAAACAAAGTTGTGCTTAGCTACTGTCAGCACCAGCTAATTGCACCACATGTAACCTCACCAAACGTTAAAAAACAACTAACAGATGATGTTATTTCCCTCCCTCTGCAAAATCGTGTCTGATTAAGCTCGTGTTACAAAGCCCTACTATATCAGAAACACGCCCTGCAGCTCCTGGTAGGAAAGCTGCCTGCTCCACACTTCACTGAAGGGAAGGGAAAGGTTGATTTGCTCAAGAGCTGTTAGTGTTCGTGATCCTGCTTCTTTTGCACTGCTGGTGCTTCTCTAATTTTAACTCTGTTGTTTTTGTTTCATTTCTCTTATTTTTCTCTCCCATCAGCTAGTTTTCTTTTTATTCCTGTCTAGCCACAATTTCCAAAACTGAATAAACAACGGAAACGTATGGTCAAGTGACAACACTCAACACCTGACACTTAATTTGAGGCAACACTTAGTCGCAACTGACAAATGGCTCTATTGCATCATTTTTAATTTGTCTACTGCCACAGTAAGGTTCGTATATAATATCCAACTGCTTTACCTTAAAACTGGTACTTATTTTCAATATGCCTCTACACAAACTGCTTCCCTGGCAGAGTGATGGCTGCCTCGAAACTCTTGTACCAGAGAGGTGGGCCTACAACCAGGCATAGAGCCGGGGGCTACTTATCCTGCTCTTGGGACAGCCATTTTGTGTTTTTCGGTTGCCCCATGGCTGCGAGGCCGCAGCTTCCCACCGCCGCTGCAGCAGCGGTTCATCTGTTCTTGCTTTCCTGCTCGCTGAGCGGGGCTGGTGGCAGGAAGCCACAACTGCTCTGTGTGTTTATCTCTCCCCATCTCACAGCCCTGACAGAGCAAGGCTATTTGGATAGCAAGAGGCTATGGTAACCAAGCAGCCACAAAATCTAAAAGGGACGTTTCCCAGCTACTGACACTGCTAAGAGTAACTGCAAAAACAAGTTTTGTAACACAACAAATATATATGTATACACGTATATATATATATCTAAACGTGAATGAAGTGAGAAAAAGCAATAGCAGCTTTTGAGTAGTTGCTTTACTTACATAATCTTAAAATAAATCTTCCTGCTTTAGAATAAAAATCTGCTTTTCCTAGGGACTGGGTGTGACTGACAAGGATATCAGCAGCAACTTCAAATTTCAACATCTTCAAAGTTCATCTTGAGCCCTCATGCCTTTACATGGCTAGTTCAGGCTCCTCTCTCTAGCAAGGAGCTCCCATTCCCATGGGTAATCACCAGATGATGGCCTTCACGAAGCAGCCAGAGCCACTGGACCCTTCTGGCCTGTTTAACACCTCCGCTCTGGAAGAGGCATTTCAATCAAACACCACTGGGCAGTTACAGAAGACTTGTCAGGGGCAGGCTCATGGTGTGAGCTCCACACCTAGGTCCCAGCCTTCCCAAAGGATCTTGGTCTGTGGTAGCCTGTGGGGTCAGGAGCAGGCTTGCAGCACAGGCCAGGACCTGCAGGCACCACGGGGCAGCCTGAGCTCTCAGTTCCCTTCTCTTATTTTCATTTATTAAACAAACAACACTGCTGACCGCAACAGGCTCCAAGTAGGACTAACAAATGGTCATGAGACAACAAAAAGGGCATTTCAAAGATGAAAGGGGTATGCTGGCGTTCCTGCAGAGGTGAACTCCTGCTGCTGCGCGCACGACTGCCCTCCTCAGCCCTGCAGCCCATGTGGCCAGGGGCCAACCATGGGGCTTGCACAGCTCGGGGTCTGCTCTGAGGAGGTGTTTGTGCATACGTGGCTTTTTCAGTTGATGGGTGAGATTTCCTGGCTGCCTTTTACCACTTCAGTGGTGCAGAGCAGTCATAAAGTTTAATTGCCCAATTAAGCAGGGTTTACAGTTGCTTTGCATTGCTAGAGTGCCACAGCGCAGATTGAATAAACCAGGGAATCAGTCCCATATATTATTATTATTTTTTTGATCAGGAAAAAAACACATGAGCTAAAGTAACTTAAATAGAGAGGTGGGTTTAGCTTGGAGTGAAAGGTATGGATTCGAGCATTGTGGGACAAGTTGAAAGCGAAGATCCCTGATCTCTCCTCTCCTGTTGTGGTTGCAGCACAGCCAGGAGGGAGCAATGGGTGCACAAGCACAGTGCCTTAAGGGCTGTGGGATGGGGAGGGAGGAGCACAGACTGAAGGTGGCTCCCAAATGAAGAGAAACAACTTTTTAGGAGGGAGTCATGGGAAAAGGCAACAAACAAACAAACAGAAACCAAAACCCAACCCAGCATACAGGCAGCAATGACACTTTTCAAATGGAGACTTTAAGGGGGAGTGGCATTCAGTGAAAGCCACAACAGATCATGGCTCAGACAGCCTCAGCCCACAGCTCTGCCTCCCACCACCTGCCTGTTCTCCAGGTCCCTGTCCCATCTCTACACCCACTCCTCGTGGGTTCCTGCTTCTTTCCAAGCCTCCTGACTGGGGCGGTGATGCCAAATGCGTAAGCCCAAGTACAACGAACTCTTTAGGATACTGGAGGCCTCTAGAGAAAATTTGACTAGACATAAATAGCACAGTTACCTAAATACTAGTAGGCACCTCAGTAAAAGTGGCTTCATAATTCCCAGAAAGCTGCTTCATTACTATCAGGCTAACATATATTTATATTATTTATTTAACTTAGCAGGTTGCTGACAATGTAAGCTATTGGCTAGAGCAGAATTTCTCCAGCTGCCCATTGCAGCTACCAGAGGATGAGCCATGGGAATGTTCAAAAGTCCAGAAACTCACAAAAAATGGTCAGTTCACAATATCTTATATTGTACTGCCAGGACTTTAAGGCATAAGCATTCTTCTTGACACGTAGGTAGTATCCAGGGCTTGCAGGATTTTCAGAAAAAGACAAATCAAAAAGAAAACTTGCAAAAAAAAAATAAACAAAAAACAACAGAAACGAGAGGAGAGGAGAGGAGAGGAGAGGCTAGGAGGAGGAGAGAGAGGAGAGGAGAGGAGAGTGAAGGAGGAGGAGAGGAGAGGAGAGGAGTGAGAGGAGAGGAGAGGAGGGAGATGGGGAGCCGCGGGAGGAGAGGAGAGGAGAGAGCGGGAGGGAGAGGAGGAGAGATAGGCGAGGGAGAGGGAGAGGTGCTCTTTCATGCTCCTCGGCGGACGTCCTGGAGCTCTTCGCGTCCGCTCTTCGAGGAGCTGCTCCAGCGGCTGAGAGAGTCGTCCTTTAAGGTATCTGAGCTGAGGACTCGGGAGCTCCTTCAGCTCTCGAAGCTTAGTAGGGTGCGCGAGAGGTTGTGAGGGTTTTGAGGAGAGAAAGGAAAGTGACGTAAAGGAAAGGAAAGGAAAGGAAAGTCCGGAAGGAAGTCGGAAGGAAAGGACTTCCCTTCCAGGAAAGGAAAGGAAGGAACGGAAAGGAAAGGAAAGGAAAGTGCGGAAGAAGGAAAGGAAAGGAAAGGAAAGGAAAGGAAAGGAAAGGAACACTGCACTGGAGCAATAAAAAAAGCAAATGTGGAACCTAAGTTATTAAAGGAAAATATTGAACATTAGAAAGCTTGAATTTGTTTATAACCTTTATGAAGATTTTACAAATGTTGCAGTTTTGTATAGGTCCCAAGCAACATAATGCACACTATTATATGCCTGTTAGGGACCTGAGGGCTCCCATGATCCCTGAAACCACTGCCCAGCCTCCCCTGGGGCTCCCCTGCCATGATCCAGGACCCCATCTCAGCCCCCAGGCCATCTGCCTGTCCCCACCTGAGCTATGTAGCTTCTGCAGCTCTGTCTCTGGCCCTATCTCTTGCATGGACCCTGGACCTGCTTCACCTCTTGCCAGGTCTGTTGTTGAGGGACCCTGTTACCAGCCCCAGCTCAGCCCCCATGGGGTGATGCCCATTTAGGGGAGCACTGGAAGTGCTGGCTCACCCTCAGCTCCCGGCTCATCCCACTGTGACAAGCAGCCCCCCTCCTGCTGCTCCCAGACACAGGTTGTTTGAAAGTTGTTGTGTTTTGGATCCTCTTCAAGCACATTTAGTGCAAACACACTTCTGTTTAATATGCCCACCATGTAAAGATGGGGTTTGAGGTGTAGATCTCCCTAGGGGGTGATGGAAAAGTTGAGGGAGCTTTCGCCCCATTGTAGCTGGTAGTAACACCAACCTCTCAGCTGCAGCTGAGAAGCCATGCAGCTTCCCAGTTTCTCCCTTCTTATCCCCTGCCACCCACATGGACTTAGATCAGTGTTGAGACTGCTCCAGAGTTGTCACAACACTCTGGTAAAGTAACAAGACAAAGAGAAAAAGAATAAGGAGAGAAATAGCAGGAGTTGCAAGAAGGGAAGAGATGGAAAGCATCCACATTCTTGTGGTGTGGGAAACAGATATATAGGCGATGGGCTGAAAAAAAAAGCCATCCTACTGTGTTTTTCAGTTATGTTGTGTTTAATAAGAACTCAGTAATAACCACTTGCATAGGAGCCCAGGAAGATGACAGGAGCTGCAAAGGTGAGACTTGGAGTATAACTTCCCCAGCCTTCAGGTTACCAATGGCCTCACTTCATTCTGTTAGATTGTGCTTTTCACAAATATGGCACAGTGACTGGGCTGGAAGTTCTCTCCAATTCTATTAGAATTTAAAATGAGCTTAAAGGGAATCCAAAACTGTTAATTTTAAAGCTTAGGAGTGGGAAGTGCTGAATAGGTCTGCTAAAGCACATGGAGACATCCACTTCAAGTAAGCTGATTTAAAATCTGGCATAAATTAGAAGGGTCTTGAGGTATGATCACTAGAAAGTTATGCAACAGTCACATGTAAAACCATCAGCTGGTCCTTGTGATCTGGTTCGAGTGATATGAGCCAGCACTGCAAAAGATCTAAACTCTGTCTTATCCAAACTCTCTGTCCAGTCTTTCCTCTTGAGAGTTAATGCAGGAGTAGCAGAAAGAAAGTGCCTTTAGTCACTGCTCTCTTGTTGTCAGAACAGAACAGACTGTAAAGCAGTTGTTTCTTTTTGATGTTTGGGAAAGAATAACTAAATATATTCTTTAGAGCAGAGTTATATTGTTTAGAGCAGAGCTACCTATTGAACAGTTGTCACATCACTACTTACTACACACATACTTTGAAATCCAAAGATGCAGAGGTTAACAGCTTCAACTAGGAAACTAAAGAATTTTGTGCATGGCAAACACTCAGCAGAGAAGTCTGCACTGATGTTGCTTTATAGAAAGCACGATTTCAGTTGCTAGGGTTTCCAAATGGCCACATTTTGTAAGGAAGCAATAATGACACTGAATTAAAATTAAATCAGGAAGACTGACAGGGACTCTGCAGCTTCTGATGCCGAAGGCAAGGCTCTGTGCATGGTCAGTCACTGGTTAGTTTGCTTAAGTCTTTGTATTCAGAGGATTGGATAACGGCATAAAGGAAACTCATGCATGTACACACATGGAGATGAAAGAAGATGGAACTTTTTTCTTTTTGCACAAATGGTGGTTCAACTCTTTGTGCTGTTGAAAGGCAAGCAACCTGTCAAACTCATTGAGATACTACTAACTGCAAAAAATTCTCTTTGACATGAAAAATCAATATATCACATTTGAATATTTTGTTGAAGCATGCATAAATTCATCTCTATTAAATGTGAATTGTATGAATGGTATTTTAAAAATTGATGTAATATAGAAAATCTCATGTATTCTATTCTTTTTACTTAAAAGATTTAAACAACAAAAGCATTTGAAAGATTTGAAAGATCTGAAATCTGTTGCTGTTTATGGATAAAAAAAAACTGATATCAGCTCCATATGATGTGTCAGAAATTCATAATTATTACCAAACTGATTTAGAATGATGAAAGATTGTAAAAAGGTTTGTTGATAGTTTATCTATCTGTATGCTTAAACAGGATTTCAACTAAAGCCTGAAACGTAAAATGTCACTGACCATGGAATGGAATTACATGGTAGAGATAATATGAGACTTTTTTGTCAAAATACTTTGACTCTTAAAACAAACAGCCAGCAGCTGAATCCAGAATGCACAATAAACAGACTCAAAGAACTTTTAACTCCATTCTTAACAAAAAAAAAAAAAAAAAAAAAAAAAAAGAAAAGAAAAAAAAAAAAAGAAAAAAAAAGTAAGAAAATAAAAAGAGAAAAGAGAAAAGCCAGAGAGAGTATTAAAATTCAGAGTATTAAAGAGTAACAAAGAATGACAATTCAGAGTATCTTTAATCCAATGGATTAAATCTAATCCTTTTGGTCCTTAATGTCGTACTGCATTTGTCCGAAGGCACAACCTTAGACCGTCTGTGAGATACTTGACTTATTTGCTTTTACTTCCTACCAAGTAATGGATATGCTAGAACTGAGAGGGCTACTCCACTTGATACAGGGAGCATGTTGGACATAAAATAAATGTTCCAAACATTTCCAGTGAACAGAAGTCCTATATTCAAAAGTTACAGATATTATAAAAGTCTATTCTAATTAATTTTCAATTAGAAGAATCCATTCTTCAACAAGAATCTTCAATTAGAAGAAGCCATTTTCAGGCTCCTAATTTACTGAAAGGGAGGGTTTTTGTTTTTCTTTGGGAGTTGGGCACCTAAATGTCACAAACATTTCACACATTTTTGACACCTGGGGTTCATTTCTGAGATAACTACTAATTTCTCTGCTGTATAAAATTGCCATAGTTTGTATTTCAGTACTTTGTATTTTCAGTACTTACATTACTCTCCAAACTCCACTTGACAAGACTTTACAAGCTTGTATCAACAGTGTCTTCTACTGGGTAAGACCACATGCAACACTAATCAGGGTGGAAAGATTGTTGCTAATTGTTCTGAGTAATGCCTTTGTTTGTTGCTATGTAGTTAATACACCTTATTTTTATTCTTCATTTAAAAAAAAAAAAAAGCGCTTGACCTGTGGAAGTGAAACAGTGTCTAAGGTGCCAGTGCTGGTGCCATCATTCCTATGATATTTATTTTGGAAAGATAATACTTTCCAGTAAAAATTATGAAGTGGTCTTTGTAATGTCTGTATCAGCTTAACACGTTTGCTACCAGTAAAAAAGAAAACTGCTCTATATTTTCTGAATTTCAACAACTCTACTGAGAAGTTATAACACTTAACAAGCAATTTTGTAAAGCCAATAGCTGAGCAAGAATATGGATAAAATGAAATTTCAGCAAAACTGACATCTGGATTGAATATAAGTGTAAATAGGAACAGAGTCTGGAACAGAACTCCGTTGAAGATGTGTTAAAACATTTATGTGTGATCCTTCATAAGGAATGGATGGAAAAAGTCTATTGTTTTTAAACTACATTAAGAAAGTCACCAAAGCAATTTCTTACTTCTCAATCTGTTGATTCTAATAGATGTATCACTATATGCCACACTTACATGAGACTGTGGAAATACATTTTCCAAAAATACTTTTATCAAGCATCAATAAGAAGTAGGATCAGCAAGAGAGAAAGAAAAAAAAAATGGTCTAAAAGCTCCTGTGAAATTATGACATATATATAGACTAGACACTCAAAAAAGAGCCCTGCTAAGACATTATAGATCATCAGCTGCCTATGACTACTGTGTTGCTGGATGCTACTGTCTAAGCAGTAGAGCTAGCATCAGGTTTATAACCTAACATATTCACTTTATATTGAAATAATCTAGAATCAACCTATTGTTTGCCATTTGTCAGAAAACTGACCTCCACCTGACAGGAGTGGCTGGAACACATCTGAGTGAGTAGAGATGAAAATTTACAAAACAGGACATTTCAAGACACCTTGAGGTTTTAACTGGTTTAGATGGAGCAGCTTTTAGAAGAGAAGGAAAAATAGGTTTGCCTAGATTTTATGGTTAAGACAAATGTACTATCTGTGTTTATAGCGAAACTAAAGGTAAAGGTCTGG